ATACTGTGTATTAATAATTATTCAGCTGATTTTCTAATGTTCATAACTTTTGGTCTATACTACTGAGTATATATGACAAATTATATAGATGCACACCTATGCATATTTGTTAATACTCACCTATTACCAAAGCTAAACACAATTCTGCATGCTCAGATAATTCCATCCTAATGCCTTCCCAGTAGTGAGAAAGACAGGAAAAGTGAAAACACAACTATAATTTTCCCAATAAGTTTTGAGGATGAAGTTTGGAGATTTTATATTCTTACCATCTTTCTACGCATTGTCTATCTTTTCTAAATATATATATATATATTTTCCCATCTCCATTTAATAAACCTGCTTCTTCTTACTTCATGAACTCCCTATACTCTCTCTGTGTTGTAGTCTTCATTCCCTTTTTACTCCTTTTCTCTTACTTATTTCCTGACTCTCCTCATGTCTTAGAGTATTTTGGATTCAAATAATTTGGTTTTTTTTTTTTTTTTTTTGTACTCTCTATATATCCTGTTGTCAACCCATACAAGGGAATAAAATGTAACTTACCATTTGTTCCTCTCTTTCAATGTTATGTATGTTTAGTGGGTAATTTATTTGGCTATTAGAGTATATCAGTCTTCATGCATTTAGACAAACATATGGTTAAGGCTTTTCAAATAAAAATGGTTCTTACCTTCTACTTCTCTATTATATGTGATTACACTTTGATAAATAGATAGGTATTTACACACTTGAATCTTTGTAGAACTCTCAAAAGAGACTCTGTTAAAAGTAGTATCAATAGATAATTTCAATTTTAAAATCAAAAGAGGCATAAAATTTCCTAATTAAAATATTTTTAAACTCAATCTCTGGCTTCAAAGGCAATTTGATTTAAGGATAGGCACATATTGAAAATCACAACATTTGATGAAAACCTCGCATATGCCTATCTAGATCAAAACTTACCTGTTATCTTCATGCAGCTATTAGCTCAGTTACTGAGCATGAAAAAAATAAATAATGTGACAAAAATATCACTTATCTGCATATTTCAAGAAGCAACTCATAAAAATATCTTACTTTATCTTCCTCACCAAAAACCAAGAAGGCACATCAAACAAAATATAATACACTTGCTACCTGCCATAACACAAGTTGGAATTCAATCAGGCTGGTGGGAAAAATATTAGAGATAGTTATAGAGATAGACACAAATCTGCTTGGAAGACTGAGAAGTTTGCATAATTTTGGTAATAGATATGGTTGAAGGCAACCTGATCTTCACCTTTAGTTAAACAAATTAAAGTAGTCATAAAGGAAGGCAGAGTAGTTTACCTAGCTAGCTAATTTACTCATATAATCTTAAGACTAACCTTTGGTACTGCCACAGGTGCTTAAGAGGCTTTTTACTCGGGAAGTCCACAATGTCAATTACCCTCTGTGGTGTTGACCCAAGCTTTTGTTAATTAAATCTTACTGAATAATTGTAGTCTGACTAGCTGATCAGAACCATAGTGGCAACTGTTTACAGAACTCAGCAGGGAGTCTATGACATGGACACCCTCAGCTGGACTGACAGAGCAGAATATCTGTGTGTCAATGTGCTATTCATCTGTCGCCGGGTCAGAGGTCTGCAAGGACAGACTCACTGCAGCTGGTGTTCCCTGAAGGGAGGGCTGCCGCACATACACATACTGCATTAAACATGAATATTCATGATTATATGAAATTGTTTAGTGTTAAAATGATGCATGGTATGAAGAGAATGTTAAGAATAAGTCATATAAAGTATACTCAGAGCAGTAGCAAGAAGCTGCTTTATTTAGGTAAACAGGGGCTTAAAATAATCAAAATGTTTTTGATAAAATGCTGACAGAAAAAGTACTTGAGATAAAAATTAAGAAAAAAGTACTAAGGAGAAACTTATGTTATGTTTAAATGAAAGCAGACAAGTATTAAGAAGTCTTTTTTTTTTGTTGTCTATGGACAAATTAGATAAAATCCCGACTTGTCTGCAAACATCTCATTTCTGTTACCACTGTGCAGCAGGGCTTGGATCTAAGAGGTCAGTCACTTCTGTGTGCTACAGTTGTGACCTTGGACTACATCATTATTGTTTGGTACTTATGTTGCTATAGGCATGGCTACAGATGGACTCAAAGAGAGTTCTATTTTGTAAAAATAATTTCTACTTTTTAAAACACTACTCAAACAAATTGTTGTTATTACAGTCCCACTGGTTTCCTACTCTTTATGCATTATTTTCTCCTAAAATATTCCTTCAGATCTCTACTGGACAATATCATTATGTCAATTATTTCAAGTCAAAGCATTATCTTTTCATGTTTCAGTTGTACAAAACCGCAGCTTAAACTATTTTCCTATTAATCTAATTGAACTTTTTTACATCTAGATATACCACCAAATCATATGTTGCCCAATTGGATTCAGGAAATGAGGAATTCTTTCAGATTTTCAGCCGACGCGCCTCGAACTTCCATCGCCCGCCACCTCCTCATCACTGCCTGCCCTCACCCGCTTCATCTCCACTCATCAGGGTTGGTTGGGTTTTTGTCCGGGCGTGAGTCTTAGCGCGCAGATTTTTAGAGTATTTTTTTTTTTTTTTTTTGGAGACAGAGTCTTGCTCTGTCACCCAGGCTGGAGTGTGATGGCGCAATCTCGCTCACTGCAACCTCCTCCTCCTGGGTTCAAGTAATTCTCCTGCCTCAGCTTCCCAAGTAGCTGGGATTACAGGTATGTGCCACCGTGTCCAACTAATTTTGTATTTTTAGTAGAGACAGGATTTCACCATATTTACCAGGCTGATCTCAAACTCCCAAACTCAGGTGATCCTCCCTCCTTGGGCCTCCCAAAGTGCACAGCATTACAGGCATGAATTACAGTGCCCAGCCAAGTGTGTTTTCGAAATGTAAATTTCTTCTGAGCATATGCAGTGGTAAGAAAACCAAGTCAAAGCCTCTGATTTTGTATTTGCACATCACTCAATATTATGATTTTTAAGAATAATACTTATCAATAATATACAATACCCCAGAATCCCAAGCATTTTCTTTATCTTTACACTCTTGTTTGGATTCTGTTTTAGGAGTTATCTGATCTATAAAGGTTAATCACAGACACATTCATGAGAACATTTCTTATTATAAATTTTTAAAACATATACAAATCTATTTTCATTCATGATCCTTGGACTTTCTTCTGTAGCCTGTATATTCTATCGGTGGATAATAACCACCACTTCTATAGTCAATTGGTTAGAACTGCAATCTTAAAAATCTAAAAATTAACTTCATATTCATTAGAATGCAAAGAAAAATAAAGTTTGACTAATTTGTATTAATTATTTCTTCACAAAAGAATCATGTTCTCTTCTCATAAACCCACATATCAAGATATTTGCTGTTCAGCAGATAATTTTAATTACCTATCATCTGTCATTTCTAAGTTTTTATTTTTTATTATTACTTAGTTTGATTAAGCAATCTTTATTACACGGTTCTTCAAAAAAGATTATTTATCAATAAGTAAGATTCTTCAAGATACTAACTTTGATATTAACCCAAAATATACATCAATCCTTTGAAATTTCAGTAGGCCATGACAATATATTTGATGTGAATGTGTTTTAGATAAATAAGCTTAAAGAACTTGTACTGCATATAAATTAAAAGCTACTGTAATTACAATGAGATAGTATTTCCTCAATGCAACAAGATCTTCAGAATCAACTTGTGACTCCTTGGAGAAACATTAGAAACTTATAGGAAAAATGAGTGCTGTAAGTAACCTAAGAGTTTAACATTTCATAGAATTAAATCAAGGTCCATGAGTCAAGGAGTACTGGGGCCATGAGGCAGCGAATATATAACAAATATTAAATGCATCCAGTGAATTCACTCACATTTCCTTTTCAGAAACTCTAAAGTTGCTAGCTATCTTCTTTCTTGCCCGTTTCCTGCCTCACAATCCCTCTTCCTTAGCCAAAATAATGTCTATATCTGTGGTCTTGATTCTTCCCTCCAACATCTTTTAAAATCAATTTTCCCAACACTTTCTTTCTCTTTGATTAGGGTAGTATCTGACATCTGTAATTACTATTTATTTACCTTTTTCCCCTCTGGCCAAACATATAGAAATAAAAGTAATATAATGCTTTCCCTTGAACTGTTATGTCTTGACCTTCTATCCAACTGCCCTTCTTCCAGATTTTTCCAAGAAAGAGCTGTTCTCTTATACTTAAGAGTGGTGAAGGACCACCAGTATCAGCATCCTTGAGAACTTATTTAAAGTAGAATCCATGCCTGCTGAATCATAGCGTGCATTGTTAACAAGGTATTCAGCTGATTTTCTGGTTGAAAACTTCTGATCTATGCGAGTCTATATGACAAATTATATACATGCATGGCTGTGCAAATATGCTTATATTCACCTATTGCAGATAAAACACAACTCTCCATGGTCAGGTGCTTCCATCCCTAATGCTTCCCCACCAGTGAGAAAGACAGGAGAGACAACATTTTGCTATAATTCCCTGTAAAATTTTGGTAATGAAAAGGAATCACTTTATATTCTTCAAATCTTTCTAACCATGACCTATCTTTTTCTAAAGAATTATTTTATTTTACCATCCGCCATTATATAAGCCTGCTTCTTGTTGCCTCATGTACTCCATGTATTCTCTGTCTTCCTCTGTCTTCATTTCCTCTTTTACTCCTTTACTCAAGTCTTACAGTATATTGAATTTAAACTAATAATTCGCTCTTTTTTGCTTTACTATCAATATAATCTATTGCTAACACCTGAGAAGACATATAAGTTTCACTCCTTTTGTTCTTCTATGCTATGCATTTAAAAAATAATTTTCTTTGGCTGTCAGAGTATATCAGTCCTGCGCATTTAGACAAACATTTGGCCAAGTGGTGTTTTAAATTAAAAAATTGTTCTTACCTTCTATTTTTGTGATTTATTGTTTCGACATCATTTTGATATAGCGTAAATAAACACATATAATTCTATCAGCACTCTTAGAGATAATCTGTTAAAGGTAATATCCAATAAATAATTTGTTTATTTCATTTTTTTGTTTTTGAGATGAAGTCTTGCAGCGCATTTCTTTGGTGTGATCTTGGCCTCAGCCACCTCTGTCTCCCAGGTTCAAGCAATTCTCCTGCCTCAGCCTCCAAGTAACTGGGACTGTCGGCGCTTGAGCCACCACGCCTGGCCAACTTGTTCTATTTTTGGGACTGACAGGAGTTTCACCATGTTGGCCAGGCTAGTCTTTTGAACTCCTGATCTCCAAGTGATCCGCCCGCCTCATCCTCCCAAAGCACTGGGTTACGGGGCGCAAACCCATCAATAAATATTTTCAATTTTAAAATAATAAAGAAATGACAAGCATCAATGCTTTTATTTAAAATCTTTTTTATGGACTGGGCACAATGGCTCACACCTGTAATCACAGCACTTTGGGAGGCCAAGGCGAGTGGATCACGAGGTCAAGAGATCGAGACCATATTGGCCAATTGGGTGAGCCCATCTCTACTAAAAATACAAAAATTAGCTGGGCATGGTGGCAGGTGCCTGTCCAGCCTCAGGAGGCTGAGGCAGGTGCTGGAACCCAAAGTGAGGCTGCAGTGAGCTGAGATCAGGCATTGCCTCTAGCCTGGTGACAGAGCGAGACTCCATCTCAAAAAAAAAAAAAAAAAAATTTCTTAAAACATATATTTTTTTTTACTTTAAAGGCAATTAGATTTAAAGCTGTTCACATATTGAACACCAAAACATTTCAAGAGGAAACCTCAAATGTGCTCTGTATATCAAACTTATCTTTTATCTTCATGTCGCTATTGACTGAGTTGCTGAGCAGCTGGAAAATAAAACATATTCAGAAAAAATTCTAACGTGTACAAAAGGGTAAATTCAAAGTATCTGCCTTACTCTGGTCCTCACCAAAAATAATAGGGCATTTAAACAGAACACAATATGATTAAACACTTGACATATGCATAATTATAGAATTTTTGTTAAAAACTATGCAGGGCATGAAGAGAATTTTCGAAGTATGTCATGCAGGTAGGAATGAACTCTGTAGAAATTGTTTCATTTAGGAAAACAAGGAGAAACCAAGATAATAAGAATAATTTTACAAGTTTTGTGATAAAAAGGCTGTTGAATAAAAGGAAGATTCAGAAGGAAAATTTTTATTTATGTTACTTTTAAATGAAAGCAAACAGTCATTAAAGTATGTGATTGATTAAGATACAACTTCAGAAAATGAAACAAGCCTTCATATAAAAGAAAAACAAAAACATGTATTCGTGAAACGTGTAACATGTGCCAGACACATATTTGCAGATTTTTCTTCACTTTAGAATAATGAGGATGATGATGATGTTGGTGGTTACCCCACTTTCTGCTTCCTAGTCATTCCTAGGTTAGAACAAATGATGAACAAATACAGTCCACTGTTCTCTGTTTAGAATGTCTTCCTCTCCCTAGACTTTCATAACAGCCTACGCCTCATCTTTGAGATGGAGATTAAATGGCAGTCTCAGAAAGATCTACTCTGTCCCCCAAATTCCTGCCACTACCACACCCCATGCTAATTATAAAGTTCTTCCAATTTTTCTCTAGCAAACATTCTCTGTTTTGTTTTTAAGAAAAAAGTTTTAGTGACTTATAATTTTTTTTTCTATTTGTTGTTACTCTTCCTACTACTACAACATATCCTCATCTTGGATATTCAAGTCTCATTGCCTAACACAGTTAGTGCTCAGAAAGAAATTACTCCAGGTCAAAACATTGAAAATCTCATCAGGAAAGTCTAACTTTCCAAACTGCTATATTCTATGGAAAGTGCAGTTAGCTACTATGAAGAATTGCATCCTTACCCAAATTAAAAATCCACATGCCTGTTTCCTACTCCGTTCTTGTGCTAACAATACTGCTCTCACATAAATGCCACTTTGATCATTTCATCTTACATTCGTATACAGACTTTTAGTTTACAAAATCTTTTTATTTGTTGCAACATTGTTTCATCACATGTACCTAAGAGGTAGATATGAGCACTATTTTTATTAACAAGGTTACTGGTGTTGATTAGGTTAAATGATTTTTCAAGTTCCATAGATATTAAGTGACAGAACCAAAATACAGACTTATTTTGACACATCCACTCATTATTATTTACCACTACGCAGCTGCTGCTTCTAAGTGGTAAGGCCATTCCTATCTCTTTCACATCCACAGCTGTGACCTTGGAATACATCATTATTATTTGATACTTATGTGGCTGCAAACATGGCTGCCACAAAGGGACTCAAAGATTTCTATTTGTGAAAAGAATGCCTGCTTATTAAAATACTACTCAACCAAATTGTTGTTATTACAGTTTTACAGGTGTCCTATTTCTCATGTTTATCCAATTCCTGAAATGTTCTTTCAGATATATACTGGATAATCAAAATATACCAATACTTTCAAGTCCCAGGCATGATCTTTTCAAGTTCCAAGTTGAGCAAGACTAAGACTACAGTTTAAACTCTTTCTCCCTGAATCCAGTTAGAGCTTTTGTATATCTAGATATACATAGAATCATACATTTGCCCATAAATGAACGCAGAGAAATTATTTAGTTTTTAGACAAATTTAACTTCAGAACTCGAATAGATTCTGGTACCTTCTAAGCCTTATTTTCTTTTGCACTATTCTACACTGGCTTCAAAATTAATACTGCAAATCAGCAGAATTGCACTATGCAACTGTTTATCCGCTTGGCACATGATTAAAAGAATACGTTCTGATAAATGCCAGAAAATAATTTCATATAGACACATGCAGAGGTGAGAAAATAAAGTCAAATCATCTTTCTATGTTTTAAGATTACTCATTACTTAAATTTTAAAATAACATCAACAACAATACACATACCTCAGAATCAGAAGGTGATTTTATATCTTCGTTTTGTCCTGATTCTGATGTGGGCATCTTATCTACAAAATGTTATTCACAGACACATATGTAGAACCATTTATTACTGTAAAGTGTAAAAACATATACAAATCTATTTCCATTTATGAATAATATTTCAAAATAAGAGTTAATAGCAAAAATAGAAATTCAAATTGAAACAGGTTCAGAAAAAAGAATTGATAGTATGAGAAAAAAGACAGCGGAAAGTATTTTTTAAGTAGATATTGTTATTTGGTCTACAAAATTGTTTTCTAAATAATAGCATTTAAGCATAGAAAAATTTTCAGAGATATTCACTAAATTACCACTTTTATTATTTTTAGCATAAAAAATAAAATCATCTTTACTTTTTTGATCTTGTGGAGCTTGTTCAATAATGCCAATATCATTTTCTTGTTGTCCAGTTACTGTCTTTTTATTTATCCTCCTATTACAAAAAACCAAAAGCAACAAGAGAAAAAAATCTTCAGAAAATTATATTTATTCACTCACTCACTCAATTTGTCAGACAAAACAAAAACAAAAAACATCCATTGTATCTATCAAATCACAGGCACTAACCTAGTAGAAGCAGAAAGAATGTACACAGAGATAAATTCGTTCATTCAAGAAATGGTAGAGATATGTGAAAACAAATAATAACAGAAAAACATAACTCACCAGTTCTACAACTTAAGTCAATAAAATACATAAGGGCATAAAGGAGAGAAAAATCAGTTTCACCTGAAAAGCACAGAAAATGCTGCCCATATCTGGGGCCATATTTGGAAGGACAGGCAAAGTGCAGAGTCAGGATACAAGACTCTGGAATTACAACTTGTAATAACAAAATAATAAGGCATGGCTCGCGTGGCAACTGGGGATGCCAAAGTGATGTGGTAAACTGGAACACAGTCAGAGCAAATGAGTTAAAGAGACAAATGGGACTTAAACCATGTAAGATATGTATCACGCTAGAATGTAAGACTTAACCCTTCCCAGGTAATGGGTATCGCTCAATATGCAGATGAGTTACATCATTACAAATATATTTTAGAAAGGTGACCCTTCCAGTGATGTAAAGATAGATGAACATGGGGAGATGGGGCAAAGCTAGAAAGAATACTTCAAAATTATAGGTAGAGAGTTAATTACGGTAATAAGATATGAAAAATTATAAAGTAGATAATACAAATTTTGGTGTGTGACTGGCTTGGTGACCTGGAGGAAGGTTGAAGTGCAGGATGTAGAGGGGCGGTTAAAATGGAAGTTGAAGTGTGAGCATTTCGTAGCTCTTCTAGGTGTTATTTACTAGGATGGGGAAACCAGATGACTGAGTAGATTACAAAGAGTCAGAAAAGAGGCAGGAAAATATTAAAAAAAAAGATGCTTTCAGTTCGAGACCTCTAAGATTTGAGGCATCCAAGGGAAACTGGAAGAAAGATCTGGTAAATACATTTGGAGTATGAGTAGATTAATCTACATGAGGAAAATTACCATAGTGATAAGGAAATAAATATTTATAAGATAGACTAAATGGGTAGAATTAAGCAACACAAATCTACACAGACTGTTGTAATTTTGAAAATGAAATTAAAGGAGAGAGAAAAAGACATTAGGATTAAGTTTCTCAGTCATATATTTCCAAATTTGTTTCAAGAATATAATTTTATTTATATATGAAATATTTATTTCACAAAATATTATTGCAATATGCATCTTTAGTTGAATGAAAACATTTAATTCTAAAACAAGATTCTACCAAAATGACCTATATAAAAACTAACGCGATGCAATTGTGAAGAAATGCTTACCCTTAAATTACGAGGCATTTTTATAAGTACTACTATAAAGTGAGATGGAAATGTGAAACCCTGCTTTAAAAAATTCCACATGCTTTTCTTATGTTCCTGTAAACAATATAATACTAGCTCAAATTGCCTACTTACACCATATAGGATGGTAGTTTAAAATTGGAGAAAAAGATCTCACTAAAAAGAAAATTAAGCAATAATTATTCAAGTTCAAGATTTAATAGTTTTATGTATATACCATGGATTATCAAGCGAAATTCAGTATTCACAGGAGAAGTGAAGAAAACTATAAAAAATTCAAATCAACAGGATTCACAAACTTTTAAAGAAATAAACAAATGTATGTGCAAGGTTTAATAATTATGAAGACTAAAGTTAATAAGGCTTCCTGGAAATAATATAAAATATCCCCATTGCAAGAGATATTTTAAGAGTAAAAACAATTCTTCCGATGTTAAGTTTGTATACTCTGTTAACAATCTTCCCTCACATATGATTCTATGATAATAGGCACTTTACTTTTAAAAAATCCAAAAATATTGAATACATTCATTTGTTGTGTATATATAATACCACTACATACATACTATGAACAAAAGATATCAGAATATTTTTAGAGATTAATAATTTCTACATTTATTTCTTTGAGAGTGTTCTAGTTTAAAAGTGATTTTAAAAAAGTGATTAAAAATTTAAGAGACACAGAATAGGCATTTATTTCATATGATCAGAAAATGTAATTTTTAATAACAGCTTAAATAAATGCTTATTTATTTATACTCTATTATCAAAAATATTCAAAACAACTACCAGTTACATCAAAGTAAGATAAATTAGTTAAATAACCTATAAGAATATGTCAAACATTAAATTAGAAATCTTAAACCAGAAACCAAAGAGTCAAAAATTGATAATTCACAATAAGGCTGACAAGGCCTAAAACAGATTTCACTTTGCATTCTACATTAATATGACTAAATTAAATATAAAACGTAAAGTTAATAAAAGAAGTGAGAATTAAATTTTCGTTCCTTGTTTATAATTTTTTTTTTTTTTTTTTTTTTTTTTTTTTTGAGACACAGTCTGGCTCTGTTGCCCAGGCTGCAGTGATGCAATCTTGGCTTCACTGCAAGCTCCACACGCCCGGGTTCACGCCATTCTCCTGCCTCAGCCTCCCGAGTAGCTGAGACTACAGGTGCCCACCACCACGCCCGGCTAATTTTTTGTATTTTTAGTAGAGACAGAGTTTCACCATGTTAGCCAGGATGGTCTCGATCTCCTGACCTCATTATCTGTCTGCCTTGGCCTCCCAAAGTGCTGGGATTACAGGTGTGAGCCACCGCCTTGGCCATTTATAAATTTTTGTTGACACAGTATAAATGTACATGTTTTGGGGGTACATATTATTATATGTTTTCACATAATCAAAACAGAATAATTGAGATATTAATCACCATAAGTATTTATCTTTCCTATATACCCAGAAACATTCAAATTATTCTCTACCAGGTATTTTAAAGAGTACAATAAATTGCTCTTACCTATAGTTATCCTTATATTTTCTTTCAGCCTTTTATTCAAATCAGCTACAAGTCACTCAAAAACACACAGGCCGTAATTTATTACCTGGCTGTGTTTTCTATTTTTTTATTTTAAATCATTTATATAATATCTTTTTATTCTAGAGCATTCCTGCTCTCATTTAAACAACTTTTGTTCTTTTTTTTTAATAATAATCATGTGTCATCTTGACTCTCCTCTCCTTGGAGTCTCTATGTTTATCTTACCCTTCTTCATTAGATTGTTCATTTCACCCGTTCATGTAATTTATTATTATAGAAATATGGTGGTATCCATTAATGAATGATTTCATTTCACCCCTTCATATAATTTATTATTATAGAAATATGATGGTATCCATTGGAGTGTGTTCTTTTTTCTTTTTCTTTTTCTTTTTTTTTTTTTTGAGATGGAGTCTCGTTCTGTCTCCCAGGCTAGAGTGGTGCAATCTCTGCTCACTGCAAGCTCCGCCTCCTGGACTCACGCCATTCTCCTGCCTCAGCCTCCTGAGTAGCTGGGACTACAGGCGCCCGCCACCACACCTGGTTAATTGTTTGTATTTTTAGTAGAGACGGGGTTTCACCATGTTAGCCAGGATGGTCTCGATCTCCTGACCCATAAGTGATCTACCCACCTGGGCTTCCCAAGTCCTAGGATTACAGGCGTCAGCCACCGCACTCGGCCCCTAGATTATTTTTTAACCAAAAATAACCTAGGACAAAAATTTACCCTTACAAAGTTTATAATATTATAGAAATAATTAAAATTTAAAAAGTTAAATTACATGTTATATTTTGGAATATCTCTTCACAGTTGTATTAATTACCTCTTGTGTGGAAAAATGTGAGACTTTAGTTTTTAATAGTACCTTATTTAACTGGGTTTGCATTGAAATGGTATGGGTTGTTTCTATTCTGTGTGGCAAAAACTAAGTATAAAAATAATTGTATAAATTCTGCTTCTTCCAAGAAACAGAGAAAGAAAGAGTAAATCATGGGGAAGGCAATGATTGATTGTGAAAATCCTGTATAGCAACTAAATAGAAACCTGTAAATAAATATGCTGACAATGGAGACAGTGATGCCCTCTCAAAAGCAGACACTGAAAAAATGTATTCTGTGAGAAAAAAAGTCTGGGGTAAATCATTTTTAAAAAGGTGAAGAGGAGAGAAACAAACAAGAGACCTTACCAATCAAGTATAGCTTCAGTCATGAAAGAAAATGAAAAACAACTACTACAGACATGTGATGAAATACATAAAATACAGACTTTTTGTTCATAACATATTCCTATAATGCTGATCAGTATTTACACTATAATTAGTTATTTTGTTAATACACTATTGTAATAAAGATTTAAATTTTATTATTATATAAGAAGACACCAAATTAAAGCTTGCTAGTCGTCAGCCAATACCTAAAAGCGAGAATTTTCTTACTACAGAGAGAGAAAAAAAAATTTAAAAGGAATGTTTCTCGACTTTTCACCTGAAGAAAGAGTATTGGTAATAAGAATTTTAGGTAATGTATTCCTTAAAAATATGTTTTTAATAGAACATGACTTTGGCGGGCTCAGTGGCTCACGCTGTAATCCCAGCACTTTGGGAGGCCCAGGAGGACAAATCATGAGGTCAAGAGATTGAGACCATCCTGGTCAACAGGGACCGTCCTGTCTTTACTAAAATTACAAAATAAAGTGGGCGTGGTGGCACGTGCCTGTAGTACCAGCTACACAGGAGGCTAAGGCAGGAGGGCACTGCTCGAACCTGGAAGGTGGAGGAGGAAGTGAGCCGGGGGTCTTGCCACTGCCTCTAGCCTGCATGTCAAGAGGAGACCCCGTTTCAGAAGCATGAGTTGAGACTAAATTCATTAAATTTTTTTTAAAATCTAAACTCACTAGGAGATGCTAAATACAGCGTAACCTTACCTTTCTTATTTACTACATGTCACTGATTGTCTTCTTATTTAAGACATATTTTCTCAAGATAACTTACATGAATTTATGCATTCTAAATATTAAGAACAATATAAATTTAAGCATATTTTAGAAATGAATTAGAATTAATTTTTAAGATATATTATGCATATTATCTTTTTATGAAATCCATAACATAAAAATTCATTTGTCTGTATTTATTCATTGAAAACCTCTTAAAATGCTTTTTATAGGCAAGACTGTATTCTGGGTACACAAGGATGCACGCAAGTATGTTTTCTAACTTGCAGTATCAGAAGTGATGCAAGAGCTTCAAAACAATTATGTAAACAACTTACTGAATACAAAATCTTCTGAAATTTAAAATTTTCAAATGTGATCATAGATCCTAGAACAATACGTTTAAAAACTGCAATTTAAAATTCACAAATTAAAATCTTGCCATATGCTTATTAAGAGTCTCTAATTCCAGAACTGGTTATTTAAGTGAGGTAAAACCTGCGTTCTTCATTTAGATGAAGACTTTAAAATCAATACTTTTAATTAAGTAACTTAGAAAACACACTGGCATCCGTTAATAATACAGATTCTGAGAAGAAGGTACATTTCTAAATTTCTACTATTATTTTTTAAATTAGAATGAGTCATTATTTTGCCCACACTGGTCTCAAACTCCTGAGCTCAAGCAATCTCCTCTGCATCAGCCTCCTTGGTAGCTGGAACTACAGGCATACCACCATGCCCAAATAAATTTTTCTAACTTCTAATATTATTTTGGTGTATTTAAAGAAGCAAGAAGAGAAACTGAGACAAAGCTCTCTCCTATAAACTACGTGATATCAAAATAATAAGTGCAAAAAAACCTATATGCTATGTGGCACAGTTTTGGAACTGAACAATTATCAGAGATTCATGATTACTACAATAAGTAATGCTGATCCATTAAAGACAAATTTAAGCATAAAGTTTTTTTTTAAGTTACAATAGGATAATTTTAACACTCACAGTAAGTACACTTATCCAAATAAAAATTTGCAAAGATTTTATATATTCTTTACTAATGAGAAAAAAGTTTTCCTAATATAATGTTCCTGTCACTATATATTTTTCCAACCCATTCCTTTTTGGGCCCTACAACCTCAGTATTTACCAAACATTTGTTATTTACTAAAGTAAAAAAAAAGTTTAAATCAACTACTCATATTTTATATAAAATGTTCTTGTATGATAACTTTATATTGCCAACATGAAACAATGATACTTACAGCACTACCAAAACATGAAAAGTAAATACTATACAGAACTAGATTCCAACTAGGAAAAATCAACTTCACAAAGACCATTTACATGGCGCAGATTAAAGTCTTCCTCAAGTTTTGTAGACTGTGAATTTTCAATAGTCTGTTTCACCAAAATGACTTTAGAAGAAAAAAAAGATGTAACATAAATGAGCAAATTCACATATTTTAAAAATAAAATCTGCTAGTATATATCTTGGGTAGCTCACTTTAAAAATGAAAACAAAAGCAAAATCTGAGGAAAAGATCAGTCCTCTGTATATTAAATCATGTTTCTTGGTAAAATTAAATATACCCTCTGTTTTAAAAAATATCTTGAATTACATGTTTTGACTCTTCCTCCCCAACCTATAACATTCAATGAACACTCACTCTTAGCTTCATAAAAAATAGTGACAGCCAATATAATTGGCATACCTAGTAATTTGTCCTCACAAACTGTCACTCTATTGATGAACTAGAAATCTACTTATGTAATATAACTTTTGATATCTAAACCGGAACAAACAGTAACCTAAAATGAGGAAGAAAAGACAGTTACTGTATCCTTTTCCATTATCTATCTCTGATTCAAAGATAATCTGTGTCACAGGAAAATGACGATATCTTTGTTTCTCAGCAAAAAAAACCACTTAAGAATGCCCTGTTGCTTCCCTTCACCCTAAAACACTAGAGAGGGTGCCCTGAAATATTTGAAATGTTGAAAAGCTGAACCTACAAATGTCAAATCACAAATGTATATTTCTTATTGAAATATTTTCTCAACAAAAAGTGAAACTGTAAAAATAATAAAATCTAACTACTTATTTTATACTTGTCCTTCCCTGTTCAGGGCTACATCAACTAGCAAAACCTTAAAAATCTTTGTACTTATTCCCAAGGAGAGAGACTGCTAGAAAAACTGAGTCCTGATAATTGGATTTCTCTAAGTACCATATATACACAGAGAGAAAGATCTGGAAATTAGGAGCCACTATAGTGAAAGTGTCTCTCACTTCCACATCTTTCTTCTGCAGAAACTTCATAAGCAGTCTCAACCTTTAAATATTCAGCTCATCAAAGCACAGATTACTGAAAAGATAAATTCAATGACCAGCCAAGAAGCTCTGTATTTGCCTGTTTCTGAAACAGCAAATGGAATTATATCAGTCAGTCATTCCCTCCCCCATAAGCATGTTACCAAAAACCCAACTGGGCTCTGACTTATTTTCCAGTAATCTTTACCCCTGCTTTGTGTACATGGGTAGGACATTGGGAGGCTTGGAAAAGAGCCAAAGGGGAGGGGACAGTTGCCCTGGAGCCACAGATCTGTGTAATTCAGCAACCTTCAATCTCCTAGCATTCAAGGGGCTCTAAGCCTCTCCAGTGAGATTTGGGGTGAAAGAACAGAATAGCACATTTCTATCTGATCGAAGAGACTTTTTTTTTTTTTTTTCCCTTTCAGCAGAAATCTTGAAGTTTGTCCATTCCTCAATTAAACAAGCAAAAAAGCGGTGACCTATTCAGGACTTCTTTTGCACATATTTAATATGCCTTTCAAGATACTCCAATATCTACTGTGTGATTTGTTCTAATTATCTTCATCAAACTTGTCATAAGATCCAACATTCTGATCTCTTTGGTAAACCCTTACTCTACCCAATCTGGGATTATTTCTCTTCTGAACTTGACCTTTCCCTGATAATTCATGACACCTGCCACTGGGTTCTCCAGCTAATTCCATTCTTATCTTTTCAATTTGTTTAATTAGACCCATTTCTCTTCCTTTCTATTATTCAAACACTCACTTACATGGTAGTATAAAAGCAAAGAGTAATGGGCTTTAGAAATGAGTTTAAATGTGCATAGTACCTCCTATATTTAAATAGGTCACTTTGAGTTTCAGACTCTCCATCTGAACAACCATTTTTCCAGGATATTAAATACAGGTTTAAATGTAGAAATAACTTTGATTAGTCTCCAAGAGTCCTTAAAATCCTAAAATTCCATGTACTTTTAATTTTGCCTATAGAAAAATGGGGCTGGTAAAAAACAATAAAATAATTCAGACTCTCCATCTGAACAACCATTTTTCCAGGATATTAAATACAGGTTTAAATATGAAAGTATTTTGATTAGTCTCCAAGAGTCCTTAAAATCCTAAAATTCCATGTACTTTTAATTTTGCCTATAGAAAAATGGGGCTGGTAGAAAGCAATAAAATAATAGAAGAAAAGAACACCAAGGAAAGCAGAGAAGAAAGTAATTAGGAAAAGATCATAGAAAAGTCATGGAAGAAGAAAAAAAGGCTCTAGCAAAAAAAAAGAAGAGTTCATGCAACTAGGCAGGGTACTGCTTTGAAGAAAAACTAAGCTGGGAAGTCAGTAAACTGAGAAATCTATGAGAAATAGCCTCTAAATATGATTAACATATTTCTACGTAGATATTCTCCAATAAGAGTAAAATAATTCATCTATAGGACTTACCTGGTCTTGCTTATGAAACAAAAACCTATGTCTTGTCACCACAGCTAAGTCAGATCTGCTCTAAAAACTTTGATGATAAAAACAAGGTACTGGTATACCTCTTTAACTCTTAAACATGTTAGAACAAAGTCTTGGATTAACCAATGTTCTAAGGGAAATCTCTAAAAAGAGTTAACATATGACAAAATGTGACTTTGTGAATCCATCCCATCTGAACCTGGACCTTGATCCTAATGATGCACAGGTATCCATCAATCTGTGCTGAGGGGCAAGAGAAGGGATTTGGGAGCAAGGTAGGCTGATGGCAAACTCAAGGGTCAGTTACTTTTTAGCTATGAAATCATAGACCAATTAATCAACCTCTCTGAACCACATTTGACTGACTAATACAAAGTAGGTGATAGTAGCACAGATGTTTACAAAGCTGTGTGATGACTATGTGAGATGATAAATATTAAGCACATAATATGTTGTCTAGCCCAGAGTAGAATACTCAACAGATAGTGATTTCTTTCCTCTATATGTTCTGAGTTAAAATATACGTTTTAAAAAACCATAAAGTCTTACCTGAATATAGACTCTAGAGAACTCACATGCACTATTAAAGAGAAAAAGTAAAATACATTAAATCAACAAATATAGATAGAAAATACAGAATATTAAAAACATAAGAGGGCATGATGCCACATGCCTGTAATCCCAGCTACTTGGGAAGGTGAGGCAGGAGGATCACCGGAGGAGCCCAGGAGTCTGAAAGTAGCCTGGGAGACATCATGATACTTTAACTTAATTTAAAAGAATCATGCACACTTTCATGCATGATCCAGATATTGTATAAAAAAGCATAATACTCAGATGCTTTGTGATAAAGACTGAGATAATTTGATATACAGCATTCCTTTGGGACAATACATTAAGACTATAGTAAAATTATTATTAAGTATACTACTGGTAGAAAATTGATGCATTAAGAACTATTATTTGCCCTCCTTTATAGTTCTCAAATGAGAGGAAAAATTGAATTTAGCACAATTTGATATCTAAAAGTGAACTACAGTGTACAATAGCCATAATACAAACAGAATTCTATAAGACTGACAGAAAATTGTATTATTAGCAGAATTAGTATAAGTGGACAGTGTCAACCTTAGAAAGTATAATTTCTAGACAAATGAACTCGGAGCAGTTAGAACAGAGGATACAGTAGTCTCTCTTGATCTGCTCTACTTATAGAAAGAAACACACACACATGATTTCCCTCTGCTCTCACACCACAAACATCAAAACAGAAGACTTCTGCGACCAAATGTTTGGAGGATTTTCTCCACCAACAAGTAGGCAATCAATTCTGTAGCAGAAACCAGCTGGTTGTCCTCTATTCAATTCCAACACTATCTGTCTAGAAATAGTCTCAGATTCCACAGGTTGAAGGCTCAGTCTCACAAGACTGCCCTCCCATACCAATTGCAAATCTGTGTCTCTGAAACTTCTAACCAGCTGATTTCAAGTTGGGGTTCTCAAGACTCCCTCTTTGGGTTTGATTAACATGCTAGAGTGCCCCAAAGATGAAGGGAAACACATTTACCAGTTTATTATAAAGGGTATCACAAAGGAGACACATGAATAGATGCATATGGCAAGTTATGGGGGAAGGGGCATGGAGCTTCCATGCCCTCCCAGGGCACATCAGCCTCCAAACACTTCCATACATTCAGCTTTCTGGAAGGTCTCTGATCCCAGTCATTCTGGGTTCTTAAGAAAGCTTTATTACATAGGCATGAATGAAAAAATCTGCGGCCATTGGTAATTGACCTTATCTTCAGCTCCTGTCACCTCCTAGGAGGTTTAGGGGTGGGGCTGAAAGTCCCAACACTCTAATCATGCCTTGTTCTTTTTTGTGACAAGCTCCTTTCCTGAAGCTATCTAGGGACTGTCAGTTATCACTCAATTATTAGCATACAAAGACATCACTTTGGAGATTCTAAACATTTTATGAGTTGTATGCCACAAAACAGTGTGGAAGACCAAACATATACTTCACAATATAATATTGAAGGTTTGGATTTCTGTGACTTCAGCTACTTGTGGCCAACTGTAGTCCAAAATATTAAATGGGGGATTCCAGAAATATACAAGTCATAAGTCTTAAATAGTGTGTCATTCTAAGGAATATGATGAAATATTAAGACACGCTGTTCCATCTCACCCAGGTCATGAATCATCCCTTTGTATATGCTATCTGCCCATTAGTCATCAAAATGGTCTGTTCCTGAATCCCAACCATCAACACTATCATGGCTCAATGATCCAGGGTCACATGAAGCAGATGATCCTCCTTCTGATGTGTAGTCAGATAGCCAGAAATAATTAGTAACCTAACACCACATGACAACTCCTACCTCATTCTCCTGACTTCATCTCATCACATAGGCATTATATCATCTCACAATTATCATATGAGTGAGAAGGGTGAGTACAATACAAGACACTTTGAGAGACCACATTCACTTAACTTTGATTATAATATATTGTTATTGTTTTATTTTATTATGAGTTATTGTTAATCTCTTTCTGTGCCTAATTTATGAATTAAACTTTATCAGAAATATTCATGTATAGAAAAAATATGAATGTATAAGGTTCCATACTATCCACAGTCTCATCACATAGGCATTATATCATCTCACACTATCATATGAGTGAGAAGGGTGAGTACAATACAAGACACTTTGAGAGACCACATTCACTTAACTTTGATTATAATATATTGTTATTGTTTTATTTTATTATGAGTTATTGTTAATCTCTTTCTGTGCCTAATTTATGAATTAAACTTTATCAGAAATATTCATGTATAAGAAAAAAATATGAATGTATAAGGTTCCATATCCACAGTTTCAGACATTCACTGGGTGTCTTAGAAAATATCCCCTGTGGATAAGGGTGAATTACTGTACTGTGCATGTGTGTATGTGTGTGTGTGTGAGAGAGAGAGAGAGAGACAGAGAGAGAGAGAGAGACAACACAGATCTCCACTCTCCACAAGAAACACATAAAAAAACAGCACTTTTCCTCACACATGACCCTTAGCTTTTGACAATTCTGGAAAAATGCTGGCACATGTACTCTCCAGTCTAGACAATTTTCCAGACCCTGTGTATGTTGGCTGCTTCAGTTACAAAAAGTTAGGTAGGATCATGGGAAATTTCTTCTTGGACACCAGAAACATTAACCACATCGATAGTACACTTAAGAACTCTAAAAGAATTCTTTTGAACAGATTACCACTGAAAAACTTGTAAGTTAAATCCAATTGACTTTTCAGTAATCTCATGAAATTCTCACATTTAAAAGAAATTTGCAACATCACTTTCTCTGACTGCTCTCCTACTTTTCATTAGCCACTGCTCAGTCACCTTTACCAAGTCCTTTGACTCTGTAAAATGTTGATAGTCCCAGGGTTTTGTCAATGGCTTTCTTCTTATTCTACATCTTCTGCATAATGGATAAGCTCATTGAGATCTATGGCTTTGCCTAATAATTGTAATAAAATTATTCTAGGCCTGCATCTCCAACCATAGTACTATCTCCAGCTACAAACACCTATAATCCAATTACTTATTGAAAATATCCCACATAAATGTTTCATTAAACTCAATATGTAAAGAAAACTTTGGTCTGTTCCATGACTGTTTGCACTTCTCTGTTGACCTGACAGTTTCTTACTCCTTCCCCATGAGCATTGTAAATACTAATACACAATGTGGAAACTTATGAATGACCTGAGATTTTTTTCTGTCCCCTAGCTTTTTAAACTCAATAATCAGTAAATCATATTAACTGTACCTATTTTCTGCCTTTGCTTAATCTTTCCATTGCCACTGGAAATACAAACTTATTTTATATTTATATTTCCTAGTCAGAAATGGCCCCTTAACTGATGGCTTTCACAGGGAAAAAGAAATCCTACTTGTCAGGGATCAGAAAAAGTGATTAGAAAAATATTTATAAAGATAATTACAGGAAATAGACACAAACCTTCTTGGAAGGCCGTGGTTAGAGGTTTGCACAACTTCAGTAAATGATTTGGCTGAAAGCAGCCTAATCCTCTTTACTGTGAGTGGACAGCAATGGAGCAAATAACTAGGGAACGTGGAGGAGTTTATCTAAATAGCTTGTTTACTCATATGGTCCTAAGACCAAACTTTGATCATCCGAGGGTGCATGATTGCTTTGTACTGGGGGGGTCAGCAGTGTTAATTACCCTCTAGTGGTGTTGACTCAAGACCTTTGTCTCAAGGAATTCATGGTTATGGAATTCCAAATTCAGCTTACCAAATGGTTTTTAGACAAAGTTTTATTGGAATACAGTCATGCCTATTTCCTCACACATTATCTATGACTGTTTTCATCCTACAATGGTAGAGTTGAAAAGCTGTGATAGGGACCACATCACCTAACATATTTCCTATTTGGCCCTTTACAGGAAAGGTTTGCCAATCTCTGGTTTATACTATGACCAGAATGCCCTGATACTTAATCTAATCTTGTGACTCCCCTACTCAAACATTTCCAATGCATCTCTGCAGAAAATATTGCTGGCTTCCTATACATAGCCATTATTTATTCTTTCTTGCTACAGAAACACAAGTATATTCATATATTTATTATTCCATTACCCCCATCTCATCTACAAAATGAGAAACCATTATTCTAAGCTAATCACAGTAAAAACATTTGCATTTCTAGTGACTGGTTTACAAATGAGTATGTGTACTAGGGAGGCTGAGGCAGGAGAATTGCTTGAGTGCAGGAGGCGGAGGTGGTAGTGAGCCGAGATCATGCCATTGCACTCCAGCCTGGGCGACAGAGTGAGACTGTCTCCAAAAACATAAATACTTAAAATGCATTCCTGTGTTTTAAATATTTAACTATTTAAATCAGGTTAAAGCAAAAAGCAAACATGCAAAACTAAAATGTAAGACCGTTTCATCATTAAGGATACGTTTATCATTTGACATCCATGAAGTGTATATCTGGTTTTAAAAAGCAAATTTAACTTCTGATCTCAGCATCCCTAAAGTTCACATTTCATGCAGAGGGTCCAACAAACTCAAATCATACTTTGGGAAGTCACCATTTTCACTCATGTTTAGAAGTGTACCCTGGATCATTTCAGATCTAACATGTTGTAATACCATAGCTCCAATAATCTGTGGGTCACAGTTCGAATTGTTAGTGGAATGTATGATTGCACAAGGAAATACTTTAAGTATTTTAGTTTTAATTTCTAATAACTAAAAAAATAGATAAAACTAACTTAAAGACTCTGAAATCTGCATGTTTTCATTTTTATTTATTATTAATCAGCATGAAATTGTGTAATTAACTATGGTGCAGTCATACAATGGAATTTTATAAAGAACCTAATATTAAAAAACACAGTTAATTGTGTCCATTATGGATGTCTCTAAAAATTATAATGCTGATCAAAAAAGAACATTGCTGAACATTACACTGTACAACCACGTACGCATTGCAAGTTGAAAAAAAACTACATATTAAATATGACCACGTACACGTGTTGTAAAATGTTTAAACATGCATAAGAATAGTTTTCAAAACTGGTTTAGAATACTTGTTACTTCTAGGCAATAAATGGTAGTTGTGTAAAAAGACTCTAAAGCCAAATGCTTCAGAATCACAGTTATATGAAAAAGTGTGTTTATCAAATATTCATAAAGAAATGATTAATTATTTTCCTCATCTTTACAAGGTAAAGGTACCACACACAAAAACAGACACACACAGGCACCCACACAGACACACACACACAAAGAGTTCAGTAATCAGAGTTACTGATTTTCTTAGGATTCTCAAAGTGACAACACTGAAATGAGGTAATTAATGTTAAAACACAATTGTTATATCAGTAAAATAAATGTTCCCCAAAGTAAACTGTGGAATTTGAATTAAGCTTAGAAGAACTAAAAAAAAAAAAAAAGTAGAGTTTCAAAATTCACCTTCTTAAATCTTTAATACAAATTCAAAATAGAAAACATTACAGTTTCAGGATACAAAAGTAGAAACAACTGAGATTAAGGCAACATTTTTAAAAAAATACTATTGAAAATTACTGTTCTTGTAATATCAGTTTTTCAAACATAAATATCAGTATTGCCATTATTTAGATCAAATCTTTTCATCAAAGTTGAAAAAAATAAAGCATTAGGGATAGAAAGACTATCAAAATATCCAATATTGAAATATACATCTTTTCATAGTTAAATTGAAAAATTTACCCGGTCTCAACGTTTGTTCATTCCTCCATTCGAAGGCTTCATTTGGAACAGAGTTTTGCATGTCAACAGCAGGCTAAATGGGTTCGGAAGCAAAATGATTAATAAAGAATGTATACTTCACAAAATACGTAGTTAATAAGTCATTCAAAATGAAATTATAAAATTCAATACCTTAAAGTCAGAGGGCTTTTCAGGAAACTCTAAAAAGCAAAAGAGATTTATTATCAATCATAGGTAAATATGACAAAACCAACCACAAATGAATGCAATGACAGTATCTAATTGAGTCCTCTTGCTCAGCTTTGAGAATGATTCCTTTAGGTTTAGGGGGCTTTTCTTTTGGTTTCTTTCTTTAGGATACTCACATGACAGAAATACACTGAAGAAAATATAAATATAGGTTTCACAGATCATGCAGTTAAGACTTCAAAAGCGAGATTGTGTTTCACGTGTAAAAAGGGTTGATATAAGAAAATAAATGTCAAAGCTGAACATGGAGTGCTACACCATATACTAAATGAAACACATTAGAATCATTTATATTATTCTATTCATCATGTTCTTTAATGTGGCCTATCTTTGGAAAGGTATATAGTTACGATGAGAGTTCAGTTGAATTTAGAATTGACATTTCATCAGTGAAGTGCCATGAATTGATCAGCTTGGATAAATACTTAGGTCATTATACTAAATATAAACATTCATTGTTTTCCATAACCATATGGTGTAATCATATGCCTACATTTCTGTATCCTCTAGTGTATCCATGTGAATGCTTCTTGATCCATTCATGCAAGAAGATGTATAAAACTCATCATGGAAATAATTTACAATAAGCTTTCAATATTGATATATTTATATATAAATTAACTGCAAGAGATATATTAAACATAAATAACTTTTATATTGTTAAGTCACCACAGTATTTATTTTAAAAAGCAATCTTATTATTCAAGTATAAATTCAGCGTATTTTTAGTTCCTACAAATCGTCTGATTTTGTGTATTGTTAGTCTATAATAAATTTTTGTGGAATGGCAATGGCAATTTTATTAAAACAACTCTTTTTTTTTTTTTTTTTTTTGAGACAGAATCTCGCTTTGTCACCCAGGCTGGAGTGCAGTGGCGCCATCTCAGCTCACTGCAAGCTCCAGCTCCCGGGTTCAGGCTATTCTCCTGCCTCAGCCTCCCAAGTAGCTGGAACTACAGGCACCTGCCATCACGCCTGGCTAATTTTTTGTATTTTTAGTAGACATGGGGTTTCACCATATTAGCCAGGATGGTCTCGATTTGCTGACCTCGTGATCCACCCACCTCACCCTCCCAAAGTGCTGGGATTACAAGCATAAGCCACCGCACCTGGCCAAAACAACTCATTTTCTTAAAAATAAAGCCAATGTTCTTACTTTCAAATATATTTCATTTGAATAGATAACATCAACTAAATATATATTTGTCATGAGTGATTGTAATAGCGAAACCTAGATAGTTAAACCTAGTGAAACTAAGATATTCTAAGAAGTGAGGAAAGTCAGAAAATAAGGAAGAGAAAAGGAGTATAAAAGGGAATGAAGACTAAGGAAGACAGAGAGAGTACAGGGAGTTCATGAAGGAACAAGAAGTAGAGCTATAATTTTCTGACAAGTTTTGGTACTGGAGGATCATTTTATATTCTTGCCATCTTTCTAACCATGATCTATCTTTTCTTTAAAAAGTATTTTTATTTTGCCACTTCCATTATATAAACCTGCTTCTTATTCCTTCATGAACTCCCTGTACTCTCTCTGTCTTCCTTAGTCTTCATTCCCTTTTATACTCCTTTTCTCTTACTTATTTCCAGACTTTCCTCACTTCTTAGAGTATCTGGTTTCAAAAATAATTCAGTTCATTTTGTGTACTCTATATATATCCTGTTGCCAAAACCTGAAAATATGTACAACTTATCATCATTTTACTCATCTCTTTTCAATGTTATGTATTTAGTAGGTAATTTTATCTGGCTATGAGCGTATATCTTTCTTCATGCATTTAGACAAACATATGGTTAAATGACTTTTCAAATAAAAAATGGTTCTTACCTTCTACTTCTCTATTTACATGCTTCATTACACTTTGATCAATAGACTCAGGTATATACACTTGAACCTTTGTAGAACTCTCAAAGAGACTCTGTTAAAAGTAATATCAATAGATAATTTTGAATTTAAAATCGAAAGAAGCATCAAAATTCCTAATTAAAATATTTTTTAAATTCAATTTCTGATTTCAAAGGCAATTTGATTTAAGAATAGGCACATATTGAAAATCACAACATTTTGATAGAAAACCTCACACATGCTATCTAGATCAAAGTTTATCTGTTATCTTCATGTGGCTATTGACTTGGTTACTGAGCATGAAAAATAAGCAACATTCACAAAACTTTTCACTCATCTGCATATTTCAAAAAGTAGCTCACTTAAAAATATCTTACTTTATCTTCCTCACCAAAAACCAAGAAGGCACATCAAACAAAGTACAACACTTGCTACCTGAAATAACGCACGTTGGGGTTCAATCAGGCTGGTGGGAAAAATATTAGATAGAGATAGTTACATAAATAGACACAAATCTTCTTGAAAGGCCGAGAAGTTTGTATAACTTTGGCAATATATATGGTTGAAGGCAACTTGATCTTTACCTTTAAACAAATTAAAGTAGTCATAAAGGAAGGCAGAGTAGTTTACCTAGCTAGCTTGTTTACTCATATAATCTTAAGACTAACTTTTGATGTACCACAGGTGCTTAAGGGCTTTTTACTGGGGAAGTCCACAATGTTAACTACCCTCTAATGGTGTTGACTCAAGCTTTTGTTAATTAATCTTACTGAATAATTGTGAGTCTGACTAGCTGATCAGAGACCATAGTGGCAGCTGTTACAGAACTCAGCAGAGAGTCTGTAAGCCACTTGGACACCCTCAGCTGGACCCGGTAAAACAGAATATCTGTGTCAATGTACTTTATTCATCTGTCGCCGGGTCAGAGGTCTGCAAGGGACAGACTCCTATAAGTCAGTTCTCCCCCTTCAGAGGTGCTGCATAAATACATCCTGTTTAAACATTGAAAATACTCATGATTATAGAATTATTTAGTCTGTGTTAAGCTGATGCATGGCATGAACAATGTTAATAAGTCATATAAAAGTATACTCAGGCATTGTAGAAGTTGCTTTATTTAGGTAAATGGGGAGTTAAAATAATCAAAATGTTTACAGTAAAATGTCTGCTGATAGAAAAAGTACTTGAATAAAATGAAAAAGTACTAAGGAAAACTTATATTTATCTTATGTTTAAATGACAGCAGACAAGTATTAGAAAAGTCTTTTTTGTCCTCTGAGGACAAATCGACTTGTCTATTGACATCTCATTTCTGTTACCACTGTACAGCAGGGGGCTTAGATCTAAGAGGTCAGTCACTTCCTGTGTCTTTCCACAGTTGTGACATGAGACTATCATTCTATTATTTGAGTACTTATGTTGCATAAGCATGGCTACCACAAACAGACTCAAAGATTATTGATGTTATTATTCTCTAAAAATGTTAATATTGAGTGATGTGCAAATACAAAATCAGAGGCTTTGACTTGGTTTTCTTACCACTGCATATGCTCAGAAGAAATTCTGGTATTTCTAAAAACACACTTGGCTGGGCACTGTAATTCATGCCTGTAATGCCAGCACTTTGGGAGACCCAAGGAGGGAGGATCACCTGAGTTTGGGAGTTTGAGACTAGCCTGGTAAATATGGTGAAATCCTGTCTCTACTAAAAATACAAAATTAGTTGGACACGGTGGCACATACCTGTAATCCCAGCTACTTGGGAAGCTGAGGCAGGAGAATTACTTGAACCCAGGAGGAGGAGGTTGCAGTGAGTTGAGATTGTACCATCACACTCCAGCCTGGGTGACAGAGTAAGACTCTGTCTCCAAAAAAAAAAAAAAAAAAAATACTTAAAAAAAATCTATGTGCTAAGTAGATTAATACTGTAATCCCAGCTACTTGGGAAGCTGAGGCAGGAGAATTACTTGAACCCAGGAGGAGAGTTGCAGCGGCTGAGATTGTACCATCACACTAGCCTGGTGACAGAGTAAGACTCTGTCTCCAAAAAAAAAAAAAAAAAAATACGTTAAAAAAATCTATGCTAAAGTAGATTATTGGTCAGTTGTGACCTTGGACTACATCATTATTATTTGGTACTTATGTTGCTATAAGCATGGCTACCACAGATGGACTCAAAGAGTTCTATTTGTAAAAATAATTTCTACTTTTTAAAACACTACTCAAACAAATTGTTGTTATTACAGTCCCACTGGTTTCCTATTCTTTATGCATTATTTTCTCCTAAAATGTTCCTTCAGATCTCTACTGGACAATACACATATGTCAATTATTTCAAGTCCAAAGCATTATCTTTTCATGTTTCAAGTTGTACAAAACCGCAGCTTAAACTATTTTTCTATTAATCTAATTCGAACTTTTTTACATCTAGATATACCACCAAATCATATATTTGCCCAAAGGTGGATTCAGAGTAATTCTTTAGTTTTCAGCCAAACTTTGCCTCGAACTCATGTGAATTACTGGTGAATTCTAAGCTTTATTTTTTATACTATACTAAACTCGTGTCTAAAACTAATTCTGAAAATTAGTAGAATTTCACTATCAAGCAGTAATCTACTTAGCACATAGATTTTTTTTTTTTTTTTTTTTTTTTTTTTTGAGAGGGAGTCGCTCTGTCGCCCAGGCTGGAGTGCAGTGGCGCAATCTCGGCTCACTGCAAGCTCCGCCTCCCGGGTTCACGCCATTCTCTCTGCCTCGGCCTCCGGAGTAAGCTGGGACTACAGGCGCCCGCCACCTCCGCCCGGCTAGTTTTTGTATTTTTTAGTAGAGGCGGGGGTTTCACTGTGTTAGCCAGGATGGTCTTGATCTCCTGACCTCGTGATCCGCCCGTCTCGAAGCCTCCCCCAAAGTGCTGGGATTACAGGCTTCGGCCACCGCGCCAGCCAGCACATAGATTTTTAAGTATTTTTTTTTTGGAGACAGAGTCTCACTCTGTCACCCAGGCTGGAGTGTGATGGTACAATCTCAGCTCACTGCAACCTCCTCCTCCCGGGTTCAAGTAATTCTCCTGCCTCAGCTTCCCAAGTAGCTGGGATTACAGGTATGTGCCACCGTGTCCAACTAATTTTGTATTTTAGTAGAGACAGGGATTTCACCATATTTACAGGCTAGTCTCAAACTCCCAAACTCAGGTGATCACTCCCCACCTTGGGCCTCCCAAAGTGCTAGCATTACAGGCATGAATTCTACAGTGCCAGCCAAGTATTATTTTCTAAAATAATATTTACCAGGCTAGTCTCAAACTCCCAAACTCAGGTGATCCTCCCTCCTTGGGCCTCCCAAAGTGCTGGCATTACAGGCATGAATTACAGTGCCCAGCCAAGTGTGTTTTTAGAAATACCAGAATTTCTTCTGAGCATATGCAGTGGTAAGAAAACCAAGTCAAAGCCTCTGATTTTGTATTTTCACATCACTCAATATTAACATTTTTAGAGGATAATAACATCAATAATATACAATACCCCAGAATCCCAAGCATTTTCTTTATCTTCCTCTTGTTTGGATTCTGTTGGGAACCTCTGATCTATAAAAGGTTAATCACAGACACATTCATGAGAACATTTCTTATTATAAATTTTTAAAATATATACAAATCTATTTTCATTCATGAATCTGTGGACTTTCTTCTGTAGCCTGTATATTCTATCGGTGGATAATAACCACCACTTCTATAGTCAATTGGTTAGAACTGCAATCTTAAAAATCTAAAAATTAACTTCATATTCATTAGAATGCAAAAGAAAAATAAAAGTTTGACTAATTTGTATTAATTATTTCTTCACAAAAGAAGTCATATTCTCTTCTCCCATGAAACCCACTATGTCAGATATTTGCTGTTCACTCAGATAATTTTAATTACCTATCATCTGTCATTTCTAAGTTTTTATTTTTTATTATTACTTAGTTTGATTAAGCAATCTTTATTACATGGTTCTTCAAAAAAGATTATTTATCAATAAGTAAGATTCTTCAAGATACTAACTTTTTGATATTAGCAAAATATACATCCAATCCTTTGAAATTTCAGTAGGCCATGACAATATATTTGATGTGAATGTGTTTTAGATAAATAAGCTTAAAGAACTTGTACTGCATATAAATTAAAAGCTACTTTAATTACAATGAGATAGTATTTCCTCAATGCAACAAGATCTTCAGAATCAACTTGTGACTCCTTGGAGAAACATTAGAAACTTATAGGAAAAATGAGTGCTGTAAGTAACCTAAATTTCCAACATTTCATAGAATTAAATCAAGGTCCATGTAAGGTCCAAGGAGTACTGAGAGCCATGAGGCAGAAAACGAATATATAACAGAAATATTCTAAATGCATCTGAAGT